CCCCCACCAGCCCCTCCCCCAGCCCTGTATACCCCCACTAGTCCCCTCCAGCCCCTCCCCCAGCCCTAGCACCCCCATTTTTCTAGTGTCCCTGTGAGCAGCCTGTCCCCACGGCACCTGGTCCCGGTGCTCACCTGGTAGGGGCCCTCGGGGGCTGGATCCTGGGCGCTGGGCGGGGAGCAAGGCTCACTGCCTGCTGTGGGGGTCGCCACAGCAGCATCTGCATCCGCATCTCCAGAGCCGGCAGGCGCCTGTGCCTGGAGCTCAGCCTGGGGTTCAAGCTCCCCAGGCTGGGGCTGAAGGCCCGTAGAAGCGGGTGGAGAGGCCTGCCCGCGGCTAGCACAGATCCCTTCAGCCAGAGCCGTCAAGGTTAGAGCCCCCACAGGGGCTCCCCGGCTCCTGCCCCGGGCCCACACACCCCCAGCCATGGTGCGGCCCCAGCGCCTGCCCTGCTCCTCCAGGAAGTAGTATCCAGGTCTGACCTAGAAGCCAGCCCTGGGCGAGCCCGTGGACCAGCGCAGTGGCGTGCGTGTGTGGGTGGGTGCTGGCGTGTATGAGTGTATGGGCTTGTGTCAGGAGTGCTGAGAAAACACAGAGGTGTCTTGGCTCGGGCTGGGCCCTCAGGCCCCCTGCCAGAGCCGTGTGGCCAGCCCGAGTCCTGAGCCTACCAGAGCGAGTAAAGTGAGAGGATGCCTTTTGCTGGGGGTCCAGGGCCTCTGTGGACAGGGGCGGAGCTGGCTCCCTGCATTCCAGCACAGCAGGACGTCTGTGTGTGGGGCATGGCTGGGTGCCCCTGGCACCCCGGAGCTGAGGGCAGCGCTGCCTCTCCCACTCTCAGGGTCCCTGCTGCAGAGGCGGGCCCTCCTGGGACTTGGCGTCACCCCCCCAAATTGTCCCACAGGTGAGTGCATCTCTCCAGGCTCCTCCCCCAGGCTGGCCTGCCGGGCCTGTGCCCTAAATCCCCACCCCGCATCCTCACCCAGTCATACAACAGGCACTGCCCAGCCCTGGACCAGAGGAGCTGGACAGGCTGGTCTGGTGGGATATCTGAGCAGCGGAAGTGCTCTGGAAGGGAAACACCAGACAGGTGACACCCCCCCACTCGACTGTATATGTGCCTCAGGTTGTGTAGAGGCCCCACGCCCCCACTGCCGCCTGGCACACCTACTACCTCCCTCCTGAGCAGTCCCTCTGGAGTCCAAGGTCACTAGCTTGCTACACAGAGTTGGGAACAACTCTCACAGAGCCCCAGCCTTCCTCCCCCTTAGATGGCCACTCAGCAGCTTAGCAGCTGAGGCCCAAGGCCAGGCCCAGCTGACCTGTGACAGATGCCGGGGTCACACAGGCCTCGCAATGTCAATGGCAGGGGACATGTCGATTCTGCTGTTTGGTATATCTCACTAGCTGCTGGCTCACGCCTGTCATCCCAGCTACTCAGGAGGCTGAGATCTGAGGATCACGGTTCAAAGCCAGCTGGGCAGGAAAAGCCATGAGACTCTTATCTCCATTTAACCACTAAAAACCTTAAATGGAGCTGTGGCTCAAGTGGTAAAGTGCTAGCCTTGAGCCAAAAAGCTCAGGGACAGCGCCCAGGCCCTGAGTTCAAGCTGACCCACTGGCATGCGCTCTCTCCCTCCCCTCCCCCATCTCTAGTCCCAGGACAGTGCCCTCAGCAGGTGTGGGAACCCATGTCTGCAGCTGCCGGTGCAAAGGTCTGAGAGACTCCAGGACCACCAGACAAAGGCTCTGGGCTCTGCAGAGGCGGAAGTGCTCACACCACTGCAGGAGAGTAAAGGGCAAGAAGGAGAGACTGCGCAGGACCCAGAGTTGGCACAGGCTGAGGGGAGAGGTGGGTGCAGCGTGAGTGGTCACCCCTGGGCCACGCCTGCTACTCCACCCACCCCGCTCTGGCGGGGAGGCCTCCCCCGCCAGCTTCTCCAGCTTAGGGCGGACCTGTGGTCAGAGCCTAGATCCCTCCAGAACCTGGCTACTTCGCTGTATTCCTGACTCCGGTCCAGGGACCCAGGCGAACAAATGACACATGACAAGTTGTGGGGACAGTGAGTGACTTGTTTCCAGCCAGTCCCCACCCTGCAACAGTCACGGGGCCCCTCTAGCGCTCAGACGGTCCACCAGGGCCCGCAGCTGCTCAGACAGTGCAACCTGCAGAGAGGGAGGCTGGGGTTAGTGGGCACGCCGGGCACGCCGGGCACGCCGGGCACACGGGCCGGGCCCACCTGCTGGTCTTCTGCCTACCTGGTACGGAGCAGGGCTCTGCAGCTGCTTGTGGGCAGGGCTGAGGCGGTTCAAGGACCACTGGGCAAAGGCTCGGGACTCTGCGAGAGACGGGAGGGGCTCACACAGCTGCGGGAGAGGGGAGGCAGAGGTGAGGAGGATGTTAGGGCCGAGGCGCAGCTGAGGCTGGAGGTGCGGGAGGTGCGGAGCGGCACCTGTCCCTTGTGCAGCCAGCGTCGCAGCAGTGGCTCCACCCGCGCTGGCTTCACAGTGCAGGGGTCTCGGGCCCCTAAAGGCCAAACCTTTAGCTCCTTCTCAGCCTGGGGTGGGGGCTCTTCTGCCAACTGCAGCACGTCCAGCAGCAGAAAGCCTGCAGAGGTGGAGGGCCAGGGTCACTGTGGGGAGCCCCAGGGCCTCGAGCAGGCTGAGGGCCAGGAGAGGGCTCACCCGCAGAGTCCAGGAGCCGGAAGGCAGCCTTGCTTCCAGGCAGTGTCTGCTTCTCAGGCTCTTCTGTCAGCTTCATTCGAGGCTGGCCTCCCACAGACACCAGCTGCAGGAGGAGGAGGAGGATGGGGACCCCCGTGCCCCGCCTCGGACCCCAGACCCGCCCACCAGGGTCCAGATTCAGTCCTCACCTTGTAGACACAGCCCAGGGAAGGCTGCCGGGGACAGGTGACCAAGCTGGTGCCAATGCCAAAGGCGTTCACCTCAGTGCCCTGCTTGGAAAGGAGGGGCGCCCAGCTCAGGCAGACCTTCAGGGCCCTGGGCTCTCCACCCCCCCCCGCCCTCCCCTCCTCCCACCCGCTGCCCTCCCCTACATCCTCCCCTCCCCCTGCCCTCCCTCCACACCACCTCCTGGGCCAGTCGGGCCAGCTCCTCCTCATCAATGTTGTTGCTGACAGTAATAGGGATGAACTCCAGCCAGGGCACCTGGAACCTGCACACAGGGGGTTCTGGATTCGCCTTGGTCCCCTCCTCTCCTCCCCACACCAAACCCTTTGCTTTGGAGCCCCCGGTGGCGCCTCAGCCCCCACTTCCTTCCAGCCTTGGCCTTTGACCCCTAAAGCCCTGGCTGTGCTGAGGGCGCTGTGGCTCACTTCCCCTGCCCACTACCGGCTTCAGCCTGTGCTTTCTAGCCTTGAACCCTCGGAGGAAGAGGGGGCTCACCGCGTGGCAGTGGTCCGAAACACCGCACGGATCTCTTGAGCTTGCTGAAGTAAGTCACCGCTGTCCAGCCTCACGCCCACTGCCCGGTAGCCCAGCTCCCCCAGGGCCAGGGCCACGCCCAGGAAGTTGGGAAGACCGCTCCTGCAGGCGCAGACAAGGGTGAGAGACCCCGGCTGCCGCCAGGGCCCCTGGGAGAATGCCTGCGGTTACCTCTGCACACTGTAGGAGTCCAGCAGGCCCTGGAAGGCCCGGGGAAAGGCCAGAGCATAGGCCACGAACGCCGCCCGCTCCCCAGGGTGTGGCTCCTGCATGCCCAGCCCCAGGTGGGCACACACGCGCTCCAGCCACACCTTCACACTGGTGGTCAGGTCCACCCTCGGGCCTGTACCAATAGCTGGAGCCAACATCTGTGAAATGGGGCCAGGGAAAGATAGACTCAATAGTGAGCCACGTGGGACCCAGGAATGGCCAATATACCCTGGCCCGAGGGCAAAGGCAGTGAGTGCTGTCCCGTGCCAGCCTCCAGGCCCTGGCCACCTGATCAGAGCAGCTGCCGCAGCTGCGCACACTTGGCCCAGCTCCCCCTGCCTGGGTCCCAGACTTCTCTTGTACAGACAGGGTGTTTGCAAACAGGCACTGACCGGGTCCGGGGGCACCTCACTGCCCAAAAATGATGTGATGAAAGAGTGGGCCAGGGTGCCCGCCACCGGCACACCCCGCAGCTGCCCAGCCAGCGTGTTACTGCTGCTGTCGAACCCTGCAGGGAAGGCAGGCCAGCTAGGGTGGGATCGGTGAGGGAGGGCTTCCCTCCCTCTCTCCCCTCCCACCCTGGACTGGCCCTCAGGCCCTCACCGCCCAGGTAACTGTAGGTGGACGCTGTGAGGCCGCCATCGGGGCCCTGAGCCCGGCGCAGGCCGAACTCCATCAGCCGCTTATTGGGCCCGGCAATCAGGCGAAGCCGAGCTGCGTTGGTGGCCACCAGGCTGTGGGAGTGAGAGTGAAGCCACTGGACACCAGGCCCTCCTCCAGGCCCTTGTGGTGCATGGTCCTGTCCCCTGGAGGAGCCCCTTGCCCTCCCCCACACCCCATTCCCCTCTGGGAGATCCGGTCCCGGCCCACCTGGCGTAGCTGACCAGACAGAGCAGCGGGGTCTCCAGCAACTGCACCAAAAGGAGAGGCCCAGACACCTGCAGCAGGGGCACCTGGGAAAGGACGGTCAGAGGCCAGCACGGCCAGCGCACCCCTCCCTGCCCCCACCCCTTGCCCTGAACTCACCCCCGGAAAGGCCAGGGAGCCCTCGGGCAGAGCCCGCAGAGTCACCCCCGAGCAGTCGAGGGTTCGAAGGTGTTCGAAGAACGCGGGATCAGTATCTGGGGGCAGCACGGATGCCAGGAACTGCACATCTGGGGACAACAAAGCACCAGTGGAATTTGGAAAGTGGGGCCTCGCGGGTCTGGGGTTGCCCTGGACTGGGAGCATGTTGGGGACCAGCCCGGAGTGGATCGTCGTGGGGGCCCGAGTCCGTGGGAACGCCCCCAGGGTCACAAGGGTCTCACGGGAGTGAGTTCTGGGGATGTCAGGGATCTCCCTCGGGGCGTGGTCTCCCGGGTTGGGCGGGGTCTGGGGGGAATGGGGGGGGCTCCCTGGGCTGCGCAGGGTCTCCCGGGTTGGGCGGGGTCTCCCGGAGCAGGCCGCACCGCACCCGCGTCCCGCAGGCAGAAGGTGCGCAGGAAGCGCAGACAGTCCCGCAGGCCGGCGGCCAGGGCGAAAGCGCCGCCGAACGGGCAGCGGCGGAAGAAGAGCTCGAACTCGGCGTGGTCGCGCGCCCGGCCCGCGCGCCAGTAGCCCAGCGCCA